GGCCCACTTCACCAGAATTCCCCTTACCCTTGATGCCTCTTCCTCTTAGGAATTTTCCATCCACCAATCTCCACCTTGCAGTCAGTATTTGAAATTGAGCCAGACCTCTCTGTCTTTGTCTCTGTCTCTCTTTGGTACCAGTCCTTGGGGCTTGAACTCAGAGCATGGGCTCTGTCCCTGAGCTTTTGTGGTCAAGGCTAGTGCTCTACCAGCTGAGCCACAGCTACATTCTGGCTTTTCTGTCTGGGCTGGCTTCTGATCACAAGCCTCAGATCTCTCAGCTTCCTGAGTCGCTAGAATTAGCCACCGGTGCCTGGCTCAATGTCATGGCTTCTACATTCACCAGGGTGAGCCTATATATAGTCTTGTGACTAGTGCTGGTGAATGATTACTCCTTGGCAGATGGATTCCCTAGGGGAGTGTCGGGAGACGCCTGGCTCCATGGAGTCTCGAAGGCTGTGGAAAGGGCTCAGGAGGCCTTGATGACAGTACACCCCGTGGTGCACTCAACCATTCAACCTATTACTGCCTCAAACAAACAACAAACACAATGAAAGAGCAGCACCAGAGCTTCTCCTGGACAAGGTTGAGACCTCTATCTGTTGGTAGAGATCACAGTGGTAGAGCCATTATTTTAACAACAATCCATTATTTTATCAACAATTGATGAAATCCCCAGGCTCTCTGAGTACTTTCTGACACTGGGAGATGATCTTGGGGGAGATGGGTTGTTCTAAGGTCATGTTCCTGAATGGTTTGGGGGACCTGCCAAGCATTAGAGAAGCAGTCAATCAGCTCCCAGCTCAGATGACCTAGTTCCCTTTATTTGTTGATGACCTATTTCCCATTTCCCACTGACAGATCAAGTTACCCCGTTCCTTATTCACAATTGCCTCTTTGGGTGCTGGTCCTGGGTAGGGGTTGACTCCGCTTGGGTGCTGTCCCTGAGCTCTTTGGCCTCACGGCTAGAGCTCTGCTACCAGATTTTTGGGGGTAGTTAACTGGAGATAAGATAATCTTGGACTTTCCTTCATGGGTTGGCTTTGAACGTGGATCTTCAGATCTCAGACACATGAGTAGCTTGGATTACAGGAGAGAGCCACCTGTGCCCAACATTTTAGCAATTTTTGTCCAGTTACCACCAGATCTCTCTCTCCTTAGTTGGTTTTAAGGTTCAGAGATGACTTGGGCAAGCCAACAGAGTTCAGCATCCTTACTTCTCCTGGACCTAATTCTCTGTGAGGTGCAGCAGGATGAGTGTCAGGCTCCTTGTGGGCCACTCATGCTAAGAGTCCTGTAAGTGGAAAATAACAGATGGACAACACTTTCCTAGTATTGAGAAAAACATGAGCAGCAGGCTGGATACCCATGTGAACTTCCCAGGCCTCCAGGAAGAGGGGTCTTGCTCTCATTGGTCAGGTGGGATGAGTGTGACATGGATAGGGGTAAATGATCTACCCAGGTGTGCACATTTAAATGGAAATGCTGGTGTTCAAAGCAGCCAGTGGGTAACCTTGAGATCCATTGAGCAAGAACCCTCATCCACCCACTCACAATGGGCCTTGGGAACTGTGGGTTTTGGAATGCTGTGAGCTTCTCCTTAGGGTGTCCACTCAAAGAAATTTAGCCTTTATATATGAGCTGACCTGCTTTCTAGAGAAATGCAAAGTAAGTGGAGAGCTGAGACTCTTGAATCCCTGATCACATTAGCCTGTTGTTATGGCTGCATTAATCTAAGTGGCTAATGAGCAAAGTGGGTCAATCCAGTGTTAGTGCACCACCAGGGCTGGCTTGCAGGGCTGTGGAGGAGGTGTCCTAACAAGGAATGCTCCCTCAGGTTTGGGGGTGGGGAGCACCTCCCCAAGGGAGCTGGCTTACTCTCAGGAATTGTCCTTTCTGGCTGGTGTGATACATGGTTTATAGCATCATTTCTTTAAGTTATTGCTCTCTGAATTAGACTGCTTGAAGTTGGAACTTTACAATGGTCTGCTGAAAAATATTTGGTTTTAAAAAAAAGTGCAAATCATCTTCTCTTTCATTTCCATGTCCCAGGAAGAGTCAGTCAGAAATCTCTATCCCTTAGCTAACAGATAATTTTAAATCTGTAACCAAAATAGAGCGTGCTGTTGGTTAACACTTTTTGTTTTCCTCTTGGTGCTGGTCCTGGGGCTCAAACTCAGGGCTTGAGTCTTATCTCTGAGCCTTTATACTCAAGGCTAGTGCTCTACCACTTGAGCTATGATTCCACTTCTGGCTTTTTGGTGGTTAATTGGAGCTAAGATTCTTATGGCCTTTCCTGCTAGACTGGCTTTGAATCTCGATGCTCAGATCTCAGCTTCTTGAGTAGCTAGGATTATGGTACCTGGCTGTTTAATACTTTTTTCCCTCTTCTTATTGTACTAAGGTTTGAGATCAGGGCTATGAGCTTGATCCACTTGCTTGCTAGGCTAGAGCTCTACCACCAGTTGAGTCATGCATTCAGCCTAGCCTTCAGCTGATTATGTGGAGATGGAGTTTTGAGTATTTTTCTGCTTGGGCTGGCTTCCTACTTAGTCCTTTATATCGCAGCCTCTTGAATAGCTAGAATGGCAGGTATGAGCCACTGACATCTGCGATACATTTCTTTTGATATAGATATGCTGGTGTGACACGTATGTTGTAATTATGTCTTTACCTTGTGTCATGAAGTGTGTATTGAACAATTTCATGACAGTGATAGAATAACAGTTGCTGGTATTATCAAGTAATTATCAGTCATAGTAAACACAGTTAACCTATTATGGCTGTTCATGACTTTAATCCTCTTTTTACTTCCCCAAGGTAGGCATTGTTAGCTCTGTTTTCCCAGTGGAGGAAAAGAGGCCTAGAAAAGTAAAATAAGTCATTCTAACATACAACACAGTTTGTAAGTAGCAGGGCCAGGAGCTGAATCTCTTGTAACTGCTAAGATAAACTGTTACCCGAAAGTATTTCAGGCCTACAGTTATTTAATTCTCCTAACAACTGAATGGGTAGTATTAAGATACTAAGACTCAGAGGGGTTGAGTCCCTTGACTTCTGGTCACACAGCTAATGAGTAGTGGTAGAGAAGGACTTTAAAGCCCACCCTCGTCATACTGAAGCTTGTGCTGTTGTCCTGCATATGTTGGGGCTTATCAGTCAATGAGACAATTCATCCATTTTGGACAGTACTGGGACTTAAACACAGGGCTTGGGCTCTTTCCTTTCACTTTCCACTGAAGTCTGGTGCTGTACCATTTAAGCCATACCTCCATTTCAGATTTTTGGTGGTTACTTGAAAATAAAAGTTTTATGGACTTTCTTGCCCAGGCTGGCTTCAAACTACAATTCCTCAAATCTCAGCCTCCTGAGTAGCTAGGATTACAGGCGTGAGCCACTGGTGTCCAGATATTATTTACATTGTGTGGGCATGTGCCGTTGGTGGTAGGCATTTAGAGAGGTGGGGCCTATAAGGAAGATAGCTATGCCCTGGTGGAGCTTTCCCAGAGTCCTTTGCACACATAGATGGAGGTCTGTTGTCACCAGAGCACCACCACCCAACATCACTTTCTCTGCATCCTTCAGTTCTCCATGTGCTGGTGTAGTGGAGTTTTATTCGATGGGCATTTTCTGTTAGTTCTGCTGCTCCCCAGTGTGGGCCGTCTTCCCTACGCAATCATCCTGATTCTTTTTCTCAAGCCCTTACTCCTGTTTCCCATCTCCCATCTCAAGCCCTTACTCCTGTCTTCCATCTCCCAGCCTCTACCATCTTCCCCACAGAGCCTTTTCCTCCAGACATGAAAAATAGAATAGCAGCAGCCAGACTTCTAAGTCTCAGGTCCAAGACTCTGTCTACTCAGCTTTGTTGCAAACATTGCGTACTTCTATAACAATGTACTTCAGAACCAAGAATAATTGCAGCTATATCCCTGTGCATTTCGAATGAGTATCTCACCTCATTGATTCATGTCGTCAGCATGCCCTGTCTAGTGTATGTCTAGCTGCTTTTGTTTAACGTGGTGACTGATGTCTTACAAGTTCATGTGTATGCCTGAGTGAGGGTGTGTGCATGTGTGTGCGTGCAAGCATGTGTGAGTGTACATGTGCGCACTGGTACTGGGGCTTGAAGTCAGGGCCTTGCTGTTTTGCTTGTCTTTGTTGCTCAAGGCTGATGTGCTATCACTTAATCCAGGCCTCCACGTCTAAATTAATCCTGGTTAATTGGAGATAAAAAGAGTCTCATGGGATTTTCTTAGCTGGGCTGGCTTTGAATGGACAGCCTCAGATCTCAGCCTCTTGAGCAGTCTAATATTACAGGTGTGAAGCACCAATGTTGGGCTAGGCTTTTGGTGTGTAGGCGTTGGATGTTTGGGACAATCTAAAAGCTGGGCACTTTGAGTTAAAAAAGGGAGAGTGTGCTCCCCACCCCCCTTCCCAGAGGAATCTTAAGAGAAATGCCCATCTTGCAAGGAAGTGCTGCACTTACATTTACATTTTATGTAGTGGTGTCTGCCCTCCAGACCCCGGGTAGAACATGAATGTAGCTTTCAGCTCTGCAATCTTGTTGACATTTTTCGTTGCTTCTCCTTTCTCTCTCCCTTCCTTCCTTGCTCCTTCCTTCTTTCCTTCCTTCCTTGCTCGCTCTTTCCTTCCTTCCTTCCTTCTTTCCCTCCCTCTCTCCTTCCCTCCCTACCTCTGTCCCTTCCTTCCTTCCTTCCCTTCTTCCTTCCTACCTTCCTTCCTTCCCTCCTTCCGCATGGGGCTTGAACTCAGCGGTTGGGCTCTGGCCTTTTTCACTCCAGGCTGGTGCTCTACCACTTGGAGCCACAGGGCCACACTTCCTTTGCTGACGTTTTTGTGGTGGCAGTCTTAGACCGTGGCCACACACTGCACATTGCGCTCCCCGTCTGTGCGCCAGGCTCCCTTTCTGCCCCTCAGGGCCAGGCCCTCCTCCCTCCTCCGACTCTGACAAGCCTTGTTATTCCTGCCTCTCTTTCCAGGGAGCTGATGCCCAGGACCCTGGACGGGCAGATCACCATGGAGAAGACGCCCAGCTACTTCGTGACGCGGGAGGCGCCGGCGCGCATCTCGGCCATGTCCAAGGACACGAAGCTGATCGTGGTGGTGCGCGACCCGGTGACCAGGGCCATCTCCGACTACACGCAGACGCTGTCCAAGCGGCCCGACATCCCCAGCTTCGAGAGCCTGACGTTCCGCAACCGCAGTGCGGGGCTCATCGACACGTCTTGGAGCGCCATCCAGATCGGCATCTACGCCAAGCACCTGGAGCACTGGCTGCGCCACTTCCCGCTCGGCCAGATGCTCTTCGTGAGCGGCGAGCGCCTCATCCGCGACCCTGCGGGCGAGCTGGGCCGCGTGCAGGACTTCCTGGGCCTCAAGCGCATCATCACCGACAAGCATTTCTACTTCAACAAGACCAAGGGCTTCCCCTGCCTCAAGAAGGCCGAGGGCAGCAGCAAGCCGCACTGCTTGGGCAAGACCAAAGGCAGGACCCACCCCGACATCGACCCCGGCGTGGTGCAGAGGCTGCGCGACTTCTACCGGCCCTTCAACCTCAAGTTCTACCAGATGACCGGCCAGGACTTTGGCTGGGATTGAAACAGACCCAGCTTGCGTCATTTCCCCACCCCCACCCCCACGTGGCTTATCTATTGAGAGAGATATTATATGTATGTAAAATGTACAGAAATCTATTTTATAATAATTTATTTTTTAATTCATGAGCAATTAATTCACTAAGCTGCCTAGCCACGCTCTGTACGAAGAGAGAGATTAGCTTCATCTTGGGTTCACATTCCAAAGTGTTGAATGCGGAGACTTAGTTCTATTTCCTCACAATTGATGGTGCTTCCGTCGTGTCTCCTCCTCTCCCCGAGCCCCCCCTCCTCCCCCCCCATGATATTTAAAAAAAAAAAAAGAAGAAGAAAAGCACAATTTTTGTTGTTACGGGTATTCAAACTTCGGCCGCCCCTGTTGTGGTGGTCGATCGTGATCCCCTTGTGTCTTGGGTCTCTCTGATTTCCATCTCTCTTTCTTGCCTGTGTCCCTCTGTAGGTATGCCCTGAGCGTCCCCCCACCTCCACCTCCAGTGCTGATTCAGAAGCATTTTTATTCATGTGGTGCCATTTCTGACAAGTTAGATTACAACCCACCAGCAGGCATGTCCTGTCTCCTCCCTTGCCCCTTCTCTGCCCCTTAGCCAATCACCTCCTTCATGGGGACATTGAATGACAGGGTCCATGTACTTTAGTTTTGAGGATGAAGGATGGCCCTGCATCTCCTCTGCACTATGCCTTCCCTGGTCCATTACCCAGCTCCAAGAGGATGCGAATGTTAGTCCCTCCTCCTTCCCAGTCACACCTATGAGATGGCCTGGGTGCTCCTTTAGAAAAAAAAAAAAAGCTGTGCTCATTTGCATGAGCGTGCCCTGGGCTCCTTTCTCCCAGCAGGTAGTTCAGCTGTGACACACCAAAGAACCCCAAAAGCTGACAAAGTCACCCTCTCAAACCCCGGAAGACTGAGTGTAGACACCCAGAGGGGTCAGGGGCACACTTTGCCATGGGCATGGGCATCTACCTATCAAGATGTTAGTAGGTATGGAGCCAGCCAGTGTGAGACAAAAGGCTCAGAAAAAAAGACTCAGAAATGCCAGGCTGCCTGGCCATAGGTATGGGATTCCTGGCACCCCAGCTTGATGTCTCTTTGGAACTCTTAGCTCATCCCAGGATGACAAGATGGTTCCCAACAGCACCAACCAAGGGTGGTTCTTCTACAGATAGATTGGGAAAGCCAGCCCAGTGTTGCCTGCAGGTCCTCGAGCCGGGTCCTGGCAGGAGTGTTGCTGGCATTGTTACTGCTGTGCAGGTGGCTCTGCTCATGTCTCTGTGTTCAGAGTGCACTTGGGGGTCATTTATAATAACTAGGTATAGTGGCACTTGGCTAACTCTATGGCGATATCACATAATGACATATTCTGTTAATCCGCCACTTCCTGCAACCAGAATGCTTCTCCCACACAAAGATTGGCATTTAAATGATACTTTCATGAAGGAAGACATGGGAAGGCACACAGATTGTCAAAAAGTGAGGGTGTTGTGATATTTACAAAGGGTTCTTTGTGTATGTTTTCTGGGAGAACTTGCCCATAGGGGTAAGACAAATTGTATGACACCAAGAGAGGTCATTTCTCCAAAGAAATTGATCAGAGGTCACTGGTCTACAGGCAATATTGATGATATGGTTAGTGTTTGTCTGCATGGTTTAGATCAGGTGTAGCCAGCTTGTGCTTAGCAGCAAAAGCATTACTGACCAGGTAGGCAGAGGCTCTGCGTATACCTTAGATGTCTGATTCTTCTTCATAGTCTCTGCAAGTTACCGCAACACAGTGTATTTGTATTTCTGCACTTGGATGGCTTAGGTGTGAAATACTCTCATATAAAAGGTGCTAATCTCGTGGGGACTTCTCCATTTGGAAGGTTCATTTGAAATGGACGCCGGAGCCCCTCTTTTCAGTTACTGTCTATCCTTGCAAGAAATAAATGGCAACTATCCAAGACCCTAACCTAGGCCTGCTCTGTTCTCACCACCAGATCTGAACCAGGGTGCATTACTTCAGAGAGTTCAGATAGAAGCTTAGAACTGAACCTTCAGGTTCTTGTCCTCTTTCCAAGTTGGTCAATTTCTGATCACTATTCCCTGTGCTTAAACCAAACTGACATAGGAAATGCAGAGATAGGAAGGTGATCTCTTAGTCACAAACACTGAAGTAGAACAAAATTCTTTTTTTTTTTTTCCTTTCTCTTTTTTGCTGGTCCTGGGGCTTGAACTCAGGGGCCTGTGTGCTGTCTCTTAGCTTTTTCGCTCAAGGCTGGAAGCTATCTCCTACTTGACCCACAGCTCCACTTCTGGCTTTTCAGTGGTTAATTGGTGGTAAGAGTCTCACAGACGTTTCCTACTAAGTCTGGTTTGGGACCACCATCCTCACATCTCAGCCTCCTGAGAGCTAGGATTATAAGTGTGAGCCACCAGTCCCCAGTTCAAAATTCTATTGTGAGTTCAAGCCCTTGAATCCAAACCAATGTTTGGATTAATAGTATATAATTAGTACTGATAATAGTACTGATGGAAGAAAGAAAGTTTTTCCATGTAAGACAAACCCTGTGGATTTCAGATGGCTTCTAGTTCCCACCTGGTCCCCTTTAGCATCTTCCCCAGGTTTATACTTCATCGTGTGGTAGTAATCAATATCTTCCTCTTGCGCAAGTTAAGCAATGTGGAAAAATTAAGCCTGGGTTTTTCGACTATTGCAGTCATCTGCAGGGGTGATGAACTTCATTCTTAGCAGCTAGAAGACAAATATTATTTCATGTTTTGGCAGTTTGGTTCAATACAAGCTTTAGGTTCCCTTCTAGTTTGTAGTAAGATCCTGGTTGTCACTCACTAAAGTATGTTCTTTTTCTCCCCCCCCCCTCATTTAAAAACAAGAAAAAAAAGTTAACAAGAACATTGGAGTTTTTAGGTCTTCTTCTGGATGGAATGTTTTCTTTGAGGTGTTTGTGTATGATGATCTGTGAACTTAACGATTGGTGCCTGGAAAAGAAAATTGAGGTACGGGAGCTGTGGGAGTCAACTCCTGATTTGGATGACATCAGAAGAGAGATGGTCTTTTCTGAGTCATTTTTAGTGACAGATACCTTTTAGGCTTTGGGAGAAATGCAGGTCCTGCCGATTATACCAGAGTACTCAGATAAGAAAGGAAACGAAGGATCTCATAAGTCAGAGACCCTGTAGGAAGTATCTAATGACACATCGATGTGATTTCCCTTTTTCAATTGTTTCAGGAAGAATGGTTAATAAAGTCTAACTGTGTGGTTAGTTTCTGTTTTGCTTTTGTAACATTAATTTATGACTGAGTTTCGTTCAGATCAGTACTCTACAATACTGTGCAAACCCTAGCCGTATGTGTTCAATAACCTGGATGTTAGAATAGCCAAGATGTACAAAAATAAATAAAATGAGTATTTTGTCCTATGTATAACACAAATTAATTTTACACAGAGAAAGATGTTTATAGGAAAATGGAAATTCTCGTAATTCATACTATTTCTTTGTATGAACAAATAAAATATATTTTACCAACACGTGGGCACTTTGTGTGTTTTAGTGTGTGTTATAGGTAGAAAAGGTAGCAGTGTTCTTAGTACATGGCTCATCACATGTGCACAAGTAACTCATGTAGGTTGAGTTTTTAGATTTTAAAGGGTCTGATGCAAAGGTCTGTGAATCCACATGTAAAGGTCTATGAATCCACATGTATTTGGGACACACCTTTTTGGTAAATTCTCTAGTGGCAAGATAGATGCTTACTCCCAACACTCTAAATTGTATCTATTTATTCCAAGTGATGTCAGAACACTGAAGTTTCTGTCCCCAAGGGTTCCAGAGCTCTCCACACACAACGGGTGTGCTCTGAGCAAGACCTGTGGCTGGATAGATTCACACAATAACATCCTTCTCAGGTTTACAGGGCCTTATCTGTTAGGGAAAGAGAAAGGCTGGACCCAAACCACTTGTAGTCTTGTTTTAAAAATGCATTTATTGGCTGGGAATGTGGCTTAGTAGTAGAGTGCTTGCCTAGCGTGCATGAAATCCCTGGGTTTGATTGCTCAGCGCCACATACACAGAAAAAGCCAGAAGTGGCACTATGGCTCAAGTGATAGAGTGCCAGCCTTGAGCACAGAGAGGCTCAGGGACAGCACCCAGACCCTGAGTTTAAGCCCCAGGACTGGGAAAAAAAAAGTTTATTGTTACTGTAAAGGTGATGTACAGAGGGGTTATGGTTACGTAAAACAGGCAATGAGTATATTTCTTTTTGAACAATGTTACTCCATCCTCACTCTCCCGGTTTTTCCCTCCTGTTCCCACCCACAAGTTGTCTAGTTCATTTTCAACATAGTGTCCAGTGAGTTCTCCTGCTGCATTGGTTCAGCCTTTGTTCTACCATTTCGGTGCCTCGCCTTACCCTCCCAAAGACAGATAAACAAATAAACAAGGCAAAAAAGAAATGAAAACAAGAATAGCAACAAAAACAAAACCCTTTTGTTTCCATTTCCTGGAGTTCATTTCATTAATATTATTTTATATGGTCTGACACACATAGCTATTGTGACTATGTGGTCTTCTCCTAAGAATGTTCTTTTAGCCAACATATGGAATAAACTCAGATGTCCCTCAGTGGATGAATCATCAAGAAAACAGTGGAATTCTACTCATTCATCAGAAAGAATGACATTGTAAGGAAATAGACTTGGGAAAAAATTGTATTAAGCCAGTCCCAGAGAAGCAGGTTGCATGGTTTTCCTCATTTGTGCCTATAAATCTACAAGCAAACCCACTGGATGGTAAAAGGGAAAAAAAATGCACTGGGACATGATAAATTATTCAGGTGTTCAGGTATTCACACATTGCTACAGTCTTTCCATTACTGTTTGCTACTTTAAACACTGAGATCACTCTTACTCAACTGAAGTTTAAAAGAAATAACAATTTCCAATGGAAAAACCATGGTAATCACAAAAGCAAAAGCACTGAGAAAAAGGAATGTTGCTACCTTCCAGCTAAATGCAATCCTCAAAGCCCTATCAATTTTGCCTTAGGCTCCTCCTCCTGGTAGTTCTTTAGGCAGAGAGAGCTCTTTATCTTGTGTGAAAGGTGAAGAAATGCAGAGGAATGAATGGCCTTTCTGGTTTTAGATAGTGTTGAGCTGGTGCACACATTAAACACAGGTAAAATCTTTCCCAATGTCACACTTCGCCTTGCCTCTTCACAGTGAGAGACATTGTGACTCCCATCTCACAGAGAGAACCCCTTGGCCAAAAGCACAGATCTGGAAGTTGGGCTGGTATCGGAGGAAGAAGAAAGTTAAGAATTGGCTTCAAGGCTGAGCGCTGGTGGCTCATACCTATAATCCTAGCTACTCAGGAGGCTGACTTCTGAGGATTGTAGTTCACAGCCAGTCTGTGCAGGAAAGTCCAATTAACCACTAGAAAACTGGAAGTGGAGCTGTGGCTCAAAGTGGTAGAGCACTAGTCTTGAGCAAGAGAACTTAGGGACAGAGCCCAGTCTGCAAGTTCAAGCCCCGGGATGGACAAAAACAAAAAAAAAATGGCTTCAAATTCCAACCTTTTATTGAATGGTGCCTTCAAATCTAGGATACTATGAGGGGCTGTGAGCATGGCTGTCTCATCAATTTTCATGAATTCTATGGAGTGTAATAGAATGGGTCTAAAATATATGGATTAACTTGATGTTATGTTTTATGTTACCTGCTTGAAAGTATCCTGTAACCTGGAAAGGCCTTAGTTCTGAAACTTAAACAGCTCAGGCCAAATGTGGGGTGAACACTGAAATCTGACATGTAAAATGCAAATCTAAAACTTCAGAGCACAGCTAGATTACCAATAGCTAGAATGCATCATCAGACCTCATGCACATTGGAAATAACACATGGCTATACCTAGATGATAAGGAACATAGGAGTCATTGACAAATATTCCCTTGTTTAGATCTGGGTTTTTGACCCCATGATATCTCATTATGTACCTGAAAATATTCCTATATCTGAATGTTTCCCAAATCTGGGACTCACTTCTGGTCCCAAGCATTTCAGACAAGAGACGTTCTACCGGTATTACAAAAGCATCTCATAGCTATCCTAATGGACAGCCAAGGTGGAGAGTCATTGGTTGGCAGTGGTTCTCAAAGTTGGGCTCCTGGACCATGCCAACATCACATGCAGGCTCATGGCCCTCCTCAGATCACTGGTGTGGCTCAAACGGTAGAACACCAGCCTCAAGCAAAAATGCTAAGGAACAGTGTCTAAGCCTTGAGTTCAAATTCCAGTACAGAAACAGAGAAGGAAAACAGACAGACAGACAGATAAGAAATACAGGGTTTTATAGTCTCTACGTGATTTTGCTTTCAATCAAATTTGAGAACCACTGTAATAGAACATATACAGGCTTTAAGCTAGAGACATAAGATTCTTTTTTACTTTTCTTTTTAATATCAGTAGTGGGACTTGAACTCAGGGCCTTGTGCTCTTGCTCAGCTTTCTTGTACATAGCTGGTGCATCATTGTTGAACTACACCTCCAATATAGCTTTTTGCCAGTTAATTGGAGGTAGAGTCTCTAGGACTCTTTTCTTCAAACTTTGACCTTCTAGGTCTCAGCCTCCTGAGCAACCAGGATTTTTCAAATATGTTTTCCTCATTTCCCACTTTGCGCACGTGTGCACGTGCGCGCGCGCACACACACAGAGTTAATCATTAGACAGTCACCTCTTATAACTCTGGATCACGTACAAGGCAAACCTTTGCAGCACTAACATACTGGACTTACTTTTCCCCCTGTTCACCTGTGAGGCCATCTCCACAGGATGCCAGGAATCATGTGTTCTCTAAACAGCATGGAAATGGAGCCAGAAACTTATAAGGAAATCTTGAAAGTAAAAAAAAAATCTACTCAATCCTTCATTTAGTCTTATCCTCCAGAGTTACTCTTCAACAATGTATGTCCAATACTTAATATATGCTCAATAATTCTACCCCAAATCCACCAACTGGCCATCCAAGCGGACTCTCCCAGGCCATCTCTCTGACTGCAGCAAGTCATCTAAATCAGTTTCTGCTTTAGCAGAGAGAGTGCCCAGCCCTACCTAGCAGTGCTTTCCACACAGGTGGTTGTGTATGACAAGACACAGCAGTTCCAGCTTGGGAGCAAACGTTTTAAGTGGCCCCAAGAATGTCATACTTACCTCTTCAATGAAG